CAGCTATCATTTCACACTGATTTTAGGAATAAATTATGGGTAGGGTTAGGTTTAGGGGTAGGAATTGGGTTTAGTCTATATTTTTGGACAGTAATGTTGATCCAGGATCAACAAAAGATGTTGATCCAGGAACATGTCTTACTTGGCAAAATCACGGCAACCTGGCAGAGGCTATTTTACACTAGCTCCACCCACAAATGTGTGATAGGGATGGTCAACACTATAAAAGACAGCTGACAATCATCAGTTTTATTGGCGTAGATGGTAAAGCGCGTACTGTAGTCTTTTTGACGCGATCGACCCGGGTTCGAATCCGCCATTTACCAAACTTTCTTTTCTCCCTTTTTAAATCTCATATCACATCGGAAAGGCATTTATTTTCAATAAAAATTAAGGAAATAATCAAAAAGTTGAAAATAAAGTATCGGGTAGGGTGTAGGGAGGGCTTTCCCAGCTAGAAATTTTTTGTTCTAAAAATGTTCTAAGAACATTACCATGGATTGTTCAAGCAATGTTTTTAGCGGGTAGTTTTATTTTTGTTCCCAGAACGTTCTCCTATAAGGTAGGATAACATTCTCTAAAAACATTCTAAAAATGTTTAGCGATAACATTGTTAGAACATCATTCCCTAACATTCTTACAATGTTACATACTCGTTTTGCTCTCGTGGTACTTTGATGGCACATGTGATCGTAAGGCGGCTGCAGCGCCGATCAAAGTCTTTTTTAAGACTTTTCTAACCAGAATGCATTGCTTTTGACAGGCGGTAGCCGATCTTTGCGTCGCCGCATGAAGTCGAACAAGCCTAATGTCTCTAAAGAGTGTGTTTTTTGGATGTGAGGAAAAGATAACCTTATTCAGTGTTATGTGAACAGTGGCTGCAATTTGTTTTAAGGCAGCAACGGAGTTTCTCAGCGTGTTTGTTTGTTCCCGTCATTTCGGTGACAAATATTTTATAACAAGGTACATTCTGACACTGGATTGCACATCATTTGATACTGAAGACGGAGCAGTCCCAGTGATAAAAGATCCCGGTCATGACTAGGAACTGCTGTAAGACTGCATCAATGTATATGTTTTGTTGCCAATCGGCCCAGAAGTGCTCGCGACTCTTCAGCTCAGCCCATGGCTCGCCTCCAGGAGCTCGGCTGTTTTCAGAGAGCATCGTAAGCTGTAACTTTCTATACACTATAGGTACTCAAGATTAACATGAGATTGGCCAGAACGTGTGTGTTATGTCCCCTTTAACCTAGTCAAGTCGACTTTATTTTTATA